CGGACCATTTAACACTAGGAATTCTTGTTCCCCAGATCGTTCCTTTTAGGTCTGGCCGATGTCTTCCGAGTCAGGAGCTCATGTCAGAACTGCGTGACGCTCACGATTATTTATTTTTGTTAAAAAGCTCTTCCCAAAGCAAAAGAACAAGTACTTTCCTGTTTACAAAGCACTTTCTGGATCGACTAATTTTATCCTCTTAACAACCCTGCTTCATTTTCCTCTTTTTATGGAGCAGGCGGCTAAGTCTCGGAGGGACGTGACTTGACCCTCGAGCATGAGTGTAGGACAAGGATGGACCTGGCGCTACGAGGTGGACATAAATCCGATGCTGACGGGTCATAAATCCGATACTGAGACTGTCAGGCCGCGTATGAGGTGCCCCGCAAACACGAAGCCCTGTCTGTGCCTCCACACTGCCCGTGACGGTGCCTTTCGTGGGGTTAGGCGAGGTGGTCTGTCACGAGGTCCCTTCCAGCTCAGCCTGCCATGACTTTGCACATCTCATCTGAACTGAAGCCGGCATGGATGATGCTGACTACATTGAAGGACTGATAGACGACTTCTCAGTCGAGCAAAAACCATTTGAGATTTGAGAGGTAGTTAAGCGTGTCAGGGGACTGACCGGACTGAGGTGGCCAAGGGTGAACACGTAGCCTGAGTGAGCTTCGTCGTCTCCAAAGTGATCATCTTAAGAGATGATCAGGAAATACGATACTGGAAAGACTGGAGAAATACACCAGCTGATGGGGGGATCTGGTCAAGACAGAACTAGAAAAAAATAAAACAGCTGTCCTCCCATGATCTGATTGTCTGAAGAAAGCGTATTCATGGAATGACTTGTTTTTACGGAGCCCATAAAAACAGAATCGAAAGAGGAAAGATGCGTTTCTTCTTACACAGCACTGTACCAGGGGAGTGAGATCTGCCGTATCTAACAGAAATGAGTATTTTGCTCTCTAGAGAGGACATCTCGCCATTTCTGTGAGGCCGGGCTGCGCAGCGGGATCCTCCAGGGCCTGCATCACGCGGCCTTGAGAAAGCCCCTTCTCCACTGCCACCTCACTAACTGACCCTCTGGTCACTCACTCACCATCCGAAGCTCTTGCTCACTACAGCAGGGCGCCCTAGGCTCAGGCCTCTTCTAAAGAAATGCCTGCATCTCAGAAACACTGAGAAACTTCACGAAGTTACTGGGGTTGTGACTCAGTCATCTGGAGTGGGCTCTTAGGATCCAGTTTTAAAACCACCCCAGGTGACACACACATCAGAGGTAGAAACTACGGCCCTGAGTGAGTGTGCGTCAGCCCCAACGCAAACGAGAATAACCAGCACGGGCGAGCAGTAGGACAAACGCAAATGCCCAGCCTGACACTGGTTGTCAGCACTGGCTTCCAGGGGGACCCTCCTGGGGAGACTTGAACATGGCCAGTGCCCAGCCCAGAACGACTGAGTAAGAACTTTCTTTGGGGAGGGGGAGGCAGACATCAGTACTTCTGCAAATGTCCCGGTGCTCCCGATATGTGGCCGGGGCTCAGAATCACCGCTCCACGCGAGGGGTCAGCAAATCTTTTCTCTAAAGGGCCAGAGAGTAAATATTGTAGGCGTTGTGGCTTACACAATCTGGCACGGTGACTTAATCGTAGCACAAAGGAACGGCAGACCATGCAAAAGAGAATGCATATGGCCGTGCTCCAATAAACAAGGCGGCGAGCTGAATCTGGCCCGTGGGCAGTAGTCTGGCCAACCCCTGCCCCGTGCGGGAGACACAGATATCCGGTTACTGGAAAGCTATGTCCCCCGATGTAAATACTGGCATCTTAGATTATAGAATGCATAACAGAATGTCAGTATAAAACTCCTGGAACAGTGCTTGGCTCATGGGGGCTCGAGAACTCAGTTTCATCTGATTAGCTCGAGACAGTCCCTTGAGCCAGGCTGATTTGGCTGCACTGACAGAAGCATCTAGATCTGCACAGTCTCCCATCAGTCTGTAGGAACTGCCTGCTTCCTTGGGGACGATATGTAGCTAGAATGTGATGAGGATGGGACCCAGCCCAAATGGTTTCTTTGCCAGACATTTAAGGAACAAACCAATCGAACTAACGTCTCCAGAAAATCTGAGGTCAGCATTCTCCTAGTGCAAAATCAGACAGAAATTATAAGAAAAGCAAAGAACTGTTAAAAAGTAATGATAGTTAAAGAAGACAAGTCAGGTGTTACGAATGAACGTGAACACTGTGTGAAGTGGACGGTCTCCACTCGGAGGCTGCGACGTGGGACGGAAGGAAAGGAAGCTTCTACAAGATAAAAAGTGAGGAGCAAAGAAGTAAGCACAGAGCCCAGGGCTGGCTTGGCGTTTGGGGACTGGCTGGCTGGGCAGGAGAGTTTCTGGGTGAGCACAGCACTTACAGGGACACGAAAGTGATCTCCGTTTCGGCTGGCACCCTGGGCAGGAACAGAGCCATCTTGGGCCTAGGAAGATATTTCAACACTGCAAGCTAATATCCCTCATGAACATAAACAAGAAACTCACAACGGAAGATGAACAAAGCAAGCGATATGTAAAAAAGAGAACGCATCTGACCAACTAGTGTTTGTAAGGCTGAGTCAGCATTTGAAAATCGCTTGATGTAACACACCCTATAAACAGACCAAAGGAAAAAACCCTCGTGATTATATCAAGAGGCCAAGAAAACATTTCGCAACATTCAACATGCATTCGTGACAAAATTTCACAAGGAACTCAGATGGAGCCGAGAAAGTGCATTTACAAAAACAAAAAAATGAAATGAAACCTACACAGCTAACGTGATGCTTAATGGTAAAAAGACTGGATGCTTTTCCTCTAAAGATTGGAATAAGGCGAGGATACCCACTGATTTTACACAAATTTGCCTCCATAACTTTAAATAAAAAAGACTGTATCAGTGCTTGGAAGACGGCACAAATATACACTGGAGGACCTCCATGAGGAACCGTTATCCAGCTAATCCTGGGAAAGACAGCGAGATGGCCAGTCGGTGGGGACACGGCAAAGCCAAAACGCCAGAGTTCCCGAGTCTCAAAGCTTTGACTTCCTCCCTCTGCACCGGCAGCTGAGTGTGGTCCCGGCTTAGCAGCATCTCCATAACGGGAGGATGCGTTAGAAATGCAGATTCTGGTTTCCACTCAATTCTGATGCACAAAGCCGGGCAAGCACCGCCCCGCACTGTCCTAAGGACTGTGGCGACTCGGCGTCATGAAGTGTGGGCCTGTGTTGAACCCAGTTTTGCAAACTATGAAAACCACATCCAGATTCTTGAGTTCAATCGATCTAGAACTATCTCGTTGTGAGGGCATCATAGTCTTATTTCCAAAGCACGTTCACAATGTCGTCCTGTACAAGCCCCCAAGTTCTTGGAGCTATAAACTGGTCAAGTTTATAAATCTTTACCGAAATCTTTCTACACGTTAGACTTCTCTGGATGTGGCCCGCAGAGGGGAACTGGCTTTCTGGTAAACCAGGCCCCATCGGGGGAGAAAGGTCTTTGGGAAGAAAGACACACCCTCCTTCTGAGGGGAGGGCTGTTGCCTTCCTCCATCACGTTCACACTTAATCTCAGGGTCCTATCACTGCGCCCCTGGGGGACCTGGGGGGCTGGGCCCTCAACAGCTGTGCTAACGCGACAGGCACGATTCGCTTTCAGGGTGCACGAGACCTAGTGAGAAGTAACGTTCTTCGGGCTTCCGTAGGTGGGTTTGGGGGTCTGAACTTACTGACCTGCTTTAAAGTCTCCATTGCTGTTGGAAGCAGCCAACCCAGGCCCTGACTTTTTTTTTCCCATAGTCTGTTCGCCCAGAACCTTGCTATGAATCGGGCAGGTGATTTCAAGTGAAACAGGCAGGTTAGGGCTGTTTCACAGCTGCCTGCAAATGATGGCTGGATGTCTTGCCTAGACTCACAGCTTGGCCTACCTCCGACAGGTAACTATTTCCTCATTGTCACAGTCTTCTGGGGACGTGCTCCCGATGACACCGATTGTCCGAGGCCGGTCTCTGGATCATTCCGAGCTGACTGCGAGCACTGAAACGTGCCGTGTGGCAAGCACGCTGCCTCTGCTGGAAGGGTGGCAGAGGCCCGCAGAGAAAAGCCTGGGAACCTGGGCACAGGCCGAGCGAACACCCAGGGGCCGGGGTGCCCCAGGGATTAAGCAGCAGCAACTCGGCAAGGATCCTGCAGCGCAAAGGGCGCCACTTCTGCCAGC